AAGTGAGAAACCATCAAATGCAGCATCAGCAAACTGTTTTACCCAGTAGATTACCTAAACGAGGACAAGGGATTAGAAGGTTGATAGACTAATAAATCATAACCGTCACACTTAAGCCAATCTTATCTTTCGTACTCAAATGCAGCATCCTACATATTGGCGCTGAAAGTTACCTAAACTGATAACAAAACCAGCTGTACTTATATGGTAATTACAAGCGTCAGTCCGTCTCAAATATCTTTTAAGTCGCTTCCTGAAATAACTAAGGCCTGAAAATCAGTGTCGATAAATTATAAAAGACCATAAATTGCTGGTCGAAAGTATCCAAAATTATGAAGAGTTATGGGTGTGAATCCCGGAGCAATTAAGTTTCTTCTATATTTTTATCTCCTTAATGTTTGATTGGAGACAAAAATGAAAAGGGACACAAATGCGAGATCTGAAGTACCCAAGATCGGGACAATGAAGGTTCTTTATTGCTAGTGGGGTGGGACTAAGTCCCTTGTACTGCGGCCACTTCTGGCTTATTGTACCAGTCCCAGATGATAGGTGAGGGTGATTGTGGAGCAATTGATGGAATGAAGATTGGCAGGGGAAACCGAAGTACTCAGAGAAAACCTGCCCCAGCGTCACTTTGTCCACCACAAATCCCACTTTACCAGACCCGGAGTCGAAGCCGGGCCGCCGTAGTGGGAAGCCAACGACTAACCGCTTGAGCTATGGCGCGGCCGACATTTAAGGTTACTGTCTTGCGAAATGTGATGCCATAAAGTAGTGTTGTGGGTATTTACAGACGTTTCGGAGTAACCTGGCTGCTCCGTGTTTAGCGTAGAACTTCTCTTGAAGATACATTGCAATGACCTCTCCGAAACGTTGGTGCCTAATGACTGCATGACGTCATGTCCCAGAAGACAGTAATTTTCTAGATGATGATGATGATGATGATGATGACTGTATAACATAAGGAACATGTATTCTAAAAATAAAAATATCGTTTTGCATGATGGATATTCGACTGAATAGTCTGGTCTAGCAGCAAATTACTAGATTTGAATTCGGAAAATTCTCGGTTCGAATCTCGTCATGGACACCAGATATCCTGACGGAAGTTTGTGGTGGTTTTCCTCAGTCCCTTCAATCGGGCAACGACAGCTTCCTTCCAAATCCTTTCCAATTCAGCGTCCATCGATCATTCTATCATCCGGCGATATAGTCTCAATACGGACAGTCGTTAAACAACACAAACAAACACACTCCGTGGCCTGTTGTCCGCAAGCGAACTATACCGACCGAGCAGCCGCCGCTTATCGGCAAAGCTAGTGCCAACTTTAGCGGATAGAGGATGTCGCGTGGTCAGCGTAACGAATCTCCACGGCCGTTGATGTCGAGTTTCTAGACCGGAGCCGCTATTTCTTTGAAATAGCTCCTCAGTTAACCTCACGGGGCTGAGTGGACCCCGTTCCAGACCCACTACGTCTCAGAAAATCTGGTAGCGCCGGGAATCGAACCCGGACCTCGGGATCTGTAGCCAGGAACTCTGACCACTAGACCACAGAGGCGGTCCCCGTTAAACTACACACCACAATAAAATGGATGCTAATGTTTATGGCTTGACATTCTTAGAGGTCTTAAGTATATGAACACTGATGACACATCATCTGTGATGTAACGCCGTGTAGTGTGGTGTAAGCTTACCTCCGTTTCGGAGGAATAACAGTAAACCTATAGCATCCTACACGGCGTCGCATTCCAGAAGATCTTAGTCGCTGGCGTGAGAACCTGAAGATGAACACTACTCCGAAATGTGGTCAGTATGGAACTTTCATACAATTTCGCCAGTGAAACACCGATTATTTCATAAAGCAATTGTGTTATGAGCATGCGCACATGTGAGGGTAATCAATGCAATGTTATCTTCGGATCCTACCAATAACACCGATCCGACTACAAGCTGTCACCTACAGCGAATTATGAGAAATCTATAAGCACTTCTCGCCCCCACAAATTGCTTTATTGAGCCCTCAGTACCCGCCGTGTATGTCCAGTATTCACCTAGCGGTGAATCAGTGCAGTTACACGATGGATAGGCAGGACGGGCAGGACGTCAACAGAGGCAAACAAGTTTCATTTGCCCGCTGATTGGCAGCAAACAAACTGAATGTACTTCAAGTTACGGCAGGAATATTGTTCATTCATCAGCTCAAGATTTATAAATAATACAACACCAAAAAGGAAGATAAATAAATTGCAGTAAGTTTTATATTAGCCATAATCTGGGAGTGTAATACGGATCGTGCAATAAAACATTACATACAGTGAGGTCGCATTGTATGCGAGGATGTGTTACCGAAGTCCTCGTCTAATTCAAGACAAGTTTTCTCACAGGAATAGGTGTAAGGTAAAGGGGATGCCGAATTTTTTCAGACTCGCATTATTTCAAACTTTACGCATTAATTGAGGCTTTATTAATATTTTCCATATCGTACTATTTCAAATTCTCACATAGATCGACAGCACAGTAGATACTGTATATAAATTTCATGGAAAGTACAGGGTGATCCTAAATTATCCGTGACCTATAAACGTATACCCGACAATAATTTAGAATCACCCTGTGTGTAGCTTATATGGAACACACAGGTACAGGTAATATTGTAACGTGTATGATTAATTATAGACTGGATTTGGATCTGTAATTGGATTCATTGAACACTTACAGATCGTAATTACAAGTAACTATAGCTCTTTCGCTAATTTCCGAATTTTACAGATCACTACAGTACACGAAGAAAGCAGTCTTCTGGGATTTGGCACCGTGTATATGTGGTGTTAACCGACGTTTCGGAGGAACGTATCGCCTCCATCTTCAGGGTAGAAGAAAAAATATAAGAAATCTGCAAGCCAAGAGACCGTGAGAACCGGTAAAAGCAGACTGGCAGCTTTATGTATGGAGCTTAAATCAACCGCACTTATCTGCCAAAATAGATTAGTTGATGTTAGTTATTTCAGTATAACAATGGTTGGTAGTTCTGAATATCTGTGTTCTGCTGGCGGCAGACTGCTTTTACCGGTTCTCACGGTCTCTTCGCTTGCAGATTTCTTATATTTTTTCTTCTACCCTGAAGATGGAGGCGATACGTTCCTCCGAAACGTCGGTTAACACCACATATACACGGTGCCAAATCCCAGAAGACTGCTTTCTTCATAGTCACCGCCGTGAAAGGCTCAAATCTTACACACTACAGTACACGCTAAATCTTTTCAGTCTGCTTTGTCTTCACCAGTCATTCCTTGGCAACGACTTCTAAAAATGGAGATTCTTCAGCTCCCGCACTCACTTCCTTGCTAAACTACACCGACTGAGTCTTCTCTTCACATACTCTCTTACATCTCTGAACTCTTGCTCCAATTGTCCTCCTCATAATAACCCGGCGCAGACCGCGCAGAAAACGCCGTTCATTAGTGTACTCCAATTGTTTCCGTGGAGACATGTTTGTTTACGAAGGCGTTACTCAGTAACGGCTGCGTAAACTTCCTTACTAAGACTGTTTTGTCTAGCAGTGGATTTCTTTTCGTTTTTTCGATGCCGTTACCCAGCAACTGGTCTAGACACTGCAATATTATCACCACCGTTTCGAAGAAACGCGCTATTTACATTTGCGGTGTCGAAGAATAACTCATGGAAGCAACCAACAAGGACAAGAAGATTTTCTTGCTAGTTTATTGCCTGACTTAATCTTCGACCCTAACAGACGGAGATATAACGTTCCTCCGAAACATCGATGGGATTCTACCTGATTACATGTCACCTTCTTCATAGTCTCCGCTGGGAGGGCCTCAGATCCAACGCATCATTAAACTGGATCTTCGACACGAACTCTCGAGTTTGATGACCTCGGTTGAGGATGGTGTCCAGGGACGACACATCTTAGTTCTGGTGAAAACCGCTGGTCTTCTACACGACATGAATTTGGTCAATCAGTGTGTTTCTTCTTTGTTTTGGCTTGATTGTTTCCTTATTTGCTATGTAACTGACTGTGGGCAATCGTTAATTTTTTTAATTCGTACAGTGGGGGGTGGAGGGTGGAATCCAGCTGGGTCCACTCGGCACTTCGGCCACTAATTGGCCTATTGTACCTGCTTCGGGTGATTATGATTATGGAGAATTTGGTGAAATGAAGATTGACAGAGGAAACCGAAGTATGCGGAGAAAACCGGCCCCAGCGCCTCTTTGTCCACCACAAATCGCACTTGACCAGAGCCGGGCTCTGGCTCCCACCGGCCGCGGTGGGAAGCCAGCGACTAACAGCTTGAGCTATGGCAGGGCCTTCGTTAGATGTTTGGTTGGCCTCGCCATAGCTCAAGCGGTTAGTCGCTGGCGTCCCGTCGTGGAGGCCTGAATTGATCCCGGGTCTGGTCAAGTGGGATTTGTGTTGGACAAAGTGGCGCTGGGGCGGCTTTTCTCCGAATACTTCGGTTTCCCCTGCCAATCTTCATTCAACCAATTGCTCCACAATCACCCTCACCTATCATCTGGGGCTGGTACAATAGGCCAGGAGTGGCCACAGTACAAGGGACTTAGTCCCACCCCACTAGCAATAAAAAAACTGTTCCAGAATATTCCTGGAGGAACTTGGGAGAATCACAGTAATCTCAACAGTTATTCTGAGCAAAGATAGGAAGTCCAAATGTCGAGTGCGCGAAAAGGATATTAACTATTAACAGCAAATTTCGGTTTGGTTTTCTTACCGTGGATGATTCATAATGATACGTTCTGCGTTGAAGAGTACTGTGTTCTGGAATATGACGATATAACGGTAGATATTCACAAGCCATAACCGATACCATGACCTCCCAGAATATTGACTCTTCCTCCTAGGACATACTGTATGCCAAACTACAAAGCTCAGCATCCCAAAAGTCTGTATACTTTACAGTCAGCGCCAAAAGAATGTCAAATCTCACTTGTTTTTTGTTTATTACAGAAGGACCTCTGCACAATGGATCTGCAAACCTGCATGTCCATGAAACCTGATGTAAGTGTTTCGACTTAAGATCTCAAGAATTGTAGGTCTGAGTCATTTTTGAGAAGGTGACAGTTATTCAGCTACTATTCAAACTTTGCATCAGTCTCTGGAACACAGAAGCTCGTTATCATGTTCACAAGAGCCCCCACCCCCAGTAGTCCTCATCCTCAATTAGATGTATCCAGTCCACACTCTCCCACCCCATTTCTTAAAGAGTCTCATTATTTTCTTCCTATCTCGCGTTTATTTTCCGTTGTTGGATTCGTCCAGAAGAATCTTTCGAAGTCAGAGTTCCTGTATGACATTTTGTAACATACTGATTTTTACGGTGAAGAGCTGTTATCTCCGCGTCCAACCCCCAAGCACGAGGGCCATCCCTTGCTGTATTGCCATGATTCATGTGACTATAGACGGGGTATTAATCGGATACTGGATTTACAACATTATCGCTGATCTCTACTCTTTAGAAATCCATGGCACACGCTAAGACTTCTGAGTGTTCACTAGTCGTATCTTGGCAACGGATTTTAACACATTAATTATAACAGTCTAACTACAGCACACATAAAGTCGTCTTTTCGCAGTCGCACTTTTACAACTCTTTTCTTCACAGCCGGATTTTCAACACTCAACTGGCCTGAATCGCCAGTTGTGCTCAGCCCCCCTTGCAGAACCCAACTGAACTGCCAAACCATCAACTAACTGCATTGCCTTAACGGTCTTCTTTATAACTACTTTGCACGGGCCGAATAGAAAACACAGTTTCAAACAATGTCCCTATTTTTGTAGACGCGTGCTTACCGATCCGTTACTAGGAAACGGGTTACATAACGCCGTTGTTCTGTTGTTGCGTGCTTGTGTGTTGGTGGCGTTACCTAGCAACGGACGCTGTTTACAGAGTCACCGCTTAGCAACGGGTCTATACGCAACAGTATGTATGCTTATTCAATGCATTTGCAGATAGCTTTCATCTTATCGGCCCTGCTGCGGCATAATTAGTGGTCACTTTAATATGGCTCCGTCTCTTACGACCTGCCATTTTCATGGACCGTTAGCACATGCGCCTTCATATTAACGAACAGGAACACAAAGAAATTATAGGCCTAAACTGATAGGAAAAAAAAAACATCTAAATGACACATGAAGGCTACCCCTCTGCCATTCGTAAATGACAGTGTAAGTAAAATGCCGGGGAAAATGAAATCAAAACTGCTGCAGGCAAGACGTTTTTACTCAGAACTGTTGGGTTTTCGGACTCTGGCCACTAGTAAAATATAATGTTTCGGAAACTGGATCTGTTTCCGTCGTCAGGTGAGTGGGGCAGTCACCCTCAGTCAGTGACCAGTTTCCGAAACTATGTTTTTCTAGAATAGTTTCTAGAATACCGGAAGATGGACAAAGTCCAAAAACCCAGTAAGTCTGAGTGTTCTACACCATCGTCAGAACTCTTCGGAATCTACAAGACGTTGCTAGTGTTAACTATGGACAGACATTATGGGCTGTCTAAAATATCTTTTAAGTGTAAGTCACACATTGAGGAGGCACGTTTACGAAATAAATGTTCAAATAGATCTTCTCTTTTGTGATTTTCTAGCTTTCCATCACAAATTTGATATAGAATCTAATAATTATTTAAAGATGTAAATATGTACATAGTACCTGAGGATGACTCTCCACATAGAATACACGTCACTAGTTTCACAAAATCGGTTCACTTACAAGAGACTTTAAAACTATCAGCTCATTTTACTGTTTTACGTATTCCGTTTGGAGTCGAGATCGAATACCTCTAAGGCAGCCCTGCAAGTCGTAGGAGGCGACGAAAAGGAAACCCAGTACAGGGGCTATAACTGGACCACCTTGTTACTGGGGGTTTTAAATACGGGGACCTGACCCTCCGGTTTGGGCAAGTCTAGAGTGTGACAGCAACATGTGGTAATGAGTCCCGCTGGATTCAGACTCGAGAACGAGTGCGCGGGCGAGAACCAGCAGAAACTGTAAACGACAGACGAATCCTACCGTCAGAGAAGATGTTACATAAGGACTATAACCGCAAGTGTTCAGTTGGAAAGACCGCCTCTGTGGTCTAGTGGCCAGAGTTCCTAGCTACAGGTCCAGAGGTCCCGGGTTCGATTCCCGGCGCTACCAGATTTTCTGAGAAGTAATGGGTGTGGAACGGAATCCACTCAGACTCTTGATGATAACTGAGGAGCTATTTCAACGAAATAGCGGCTCCGGTCTAGAAAACCGAGATTAACGGTCGTGGTGAACCGTTGTGCTGTCAACGTGACACTCTCTATCCGCAAAAGTTGGTACTAACTTCGCCGACAAGCGGCAGTAGCTCGGTCGGTATAGTTCGCTTGCGGACTACAGGTCAAGAAGTTTGTTTGTTTTTGTTCAGTTGAAAAATAAAATTACTGGTTGTGTCAGAAGGGGTTTGTCGCCAAGAGGAGGTGATTGGTGGTAAACTGTCAGTCGTAAAGTGACTCTGACTCTGACTCTGTTTTACGCAGAACGAAACGGATGGCCTGACAGTTCTGTGGGAAGAGAACAGGGATCTCAAAGTTCTTCCAGAGGGACAGCGCATCGCACTGCTGACTGTGGCGATTATTCTCTGCTGCTTCTGCGTAGTCGGCAACTGCGCAGCCGTCTTCATTTTATTTCGCAGGTAAACCGAAAGCTCTCCATCATACACGTACATCTGTTCCTCTCTTCTCGGTTTCCTTTAGAAATTAAAACTGTTGTTTCCCCACAGGAAACTGCGCATGCTCTACAAATGTTGCCTGATTTCTCTGGCTCTCAGCGACCTTCTGCTTGGTGCGTGTTACTCCGCCACCTACATTCCGAAATTCATACAGAAATATTCTAATGCTTGGGTTAGTATATTATTCCTTGCTTACTGAGTTCTAATTATTTTTTAAATCTTTAGAGAATAATAATTACTGTACATGAGTCCTGCTTTAACAAAGATTTCACTAAACTGCATTAAATAAATGTGTTCCGTAATGGAGATGCTGCGTGTTTTCTGTGAGGTAGGAACTGAACTTTTATATAGGCCTACTATTTTGAAATAATGGTTAGATTCCCGACAGAGTTCAGAGATTTAATTCATCACAACATCCAGACCAGCTTTATGGTCTTTTTCAACGGACACAGGCGGCTATTTCCTTGGAGGTAAAGCGGTCAGGGCGTGATGTTGGCCTTCTGCAGACATATCTAGTGCCAAGGACAAGAATAGGTGGATCTATACATCCACTGTCCCATACGTGTCTCACCTAATTACTTAAATAAGTGGGCATTTTAAGCAGTAGAAAAAATCTTCTTGGAAGGGAGCCGTCATGAAGGCCTAAGATATGATAGAACCTTCAATAGTAAAGGACGGTTCGTCTCTTTTTAACCTCAGTTCACGTAACACTCTTCGACATCCATACTTTGTTTCAGTCAGCATTGGTGGCTTGAAGCAAATAAGCTGCAGTTTTATCTCAGACTTAGGACTGAATGCGTTCCCGAAAATGGGTCTAAGCCGAAACATCGGATCGAGTTCCCTATATGAGACGTATATGGTCACTTTCCTGGTGCTCCGGACTCAGACCCATTTTTCAGTATTTTAACCCCTACTGCGCTATAAATTTATTGTTACCGTTAAGTCAATAAAGGGACAACAAACCAGTTAATTAAACACTTAGTTTATTTAAAATTTTTAAAGTAACGAAGTTAATTACTACGCTACCATGGATCACTAAGAACTGCCATTCGAGTCACTAGAGAATGTACATATTTTATAAACTATTAAATTAATATTTTATCAGCATCCAGCCACTCGTTGAGTTCAGATAGGAGAGCTCTGGTTTCGGGAGACTTTGGGAGGAACTCGGTTTGGCAGAGGGAGTCGGAAGAGTGGTCTGTGGGCCTTGGGCTGTCTGAAGAACCTAACGCCTAAAATTCGAGTTTCGTGCTGTAATATCGAGAATTCCTGACGTGAGTGTAATTAATGTTAATTAAACGGGATCCTAAGTGCGGAAATCCGTTAAGTCTGGAAGTCGCTAGCCGAGGAGCGCATGCGCCTGAGAAATGTACATAAGTTACTATATGAAAACGGCCTCCGTAATCTAGGAGTAACGTTCCAACCTCATGACTCAAGGTACGTGGGTTCAAACCCGGCGGAGGTCGTGGAATTTTTAAGGGCGGGAAAATTCAGGGAACAAGTCCTCCGGGAGGGACTTTAAGCCGTGGGTCCCGTGTCGTAGCTTTACGGCACGTAAAAGAACCTCATGCCCCAAGGGGACCACTGAGCCAAATTGATTGGACATTTCCCGCCCAACAGTAGTCTCTAACGCCTCTGATAGATGGGGGAAGCATCGAGAGGTACCACTGAGCCCGTAGAGGCCGAACTCGCTGGCTGAGTCGGGACTGATGGCACGCACCAGTATCGGTAGGGTATAGAGACTGGTAGAATATCACAGAGGGGACGTATAATAGACCACTGGTCGCGGTGCATGGGGAAACCCACCCCTCCAATAATAATAATAATAATAAATACTATATGAAGGAGCCGATCACGGTGACCGCGACATCACATGAAATGTCTTCCCCGCTCGAAAGCTGGGATCGTGGGTTCGAATCCCACTCAAGGCATGGATGTTTGCCTCCGTTTATTCTGTGTTTGTGCTGTCGTGTGTAGATAGCAGCTTGCGATGGGCTGATCCCCCGTCCAAGGAGTCCTACCGTCTAAGATTAAGAAACTGAAGTGAAACGAAGTGTTTTACGGATGCCCTATGCTTCAGGTGGGAGCAATAAACAGGTAGACAGGTAAGTAGGCAGGCAGATAGACGGACAGACAGACAGGCAGCCAGACAAGCAGATAGATAGATAGATAGCTAGACAGATAGANGGGATTCGAACCCACGATCCCGGCTTCCGAGCGAGCGAAGACAGTGCATGCTTTAGACCGCACGGCTACCGTGACCGGCTAGACAGACAGATAGAGTATGTGAATAAAAGGAAGGCCATGTAAATGCAACAGAATTATTTCCTAAGAACTCCGCCGACAGCAAAGCCTAACTGATGCCGACTACGACCATCACTACACGTAACAACCCTCGCTGCTAAGCAGCAGTTCAGCATCAGTAAGCTACAGCCTATGTGCAGGTGCTGGGTGAAAGCACGTGCAACTTTGTGCCCCTGCTGATGGCGATGTGCCTCCTGGTCAACTCCATGACAGTTTCCTGCATCGCCCTGGACCGATTCCAGGCTGTGAGGGGTGGGGCTAAGAGAAGGTGGGAGCCGAGCCTGTGGATATGCCTGGCCTTTATGCTGCTAGTCTGGTCTGTGTGTGCAGGTAAGAAAGGAGATATTGGCCGTGAGAGTTCTGGAACATAATGCACGCTCTTTCATTAAAAATAAATTCCGCTTTTAAATAAATGAAGATATTTTTATGGCAGCTTTGGATAAAATAATCAAGAGAACTGAATATGCTGAATATAATGGTCAAAACTGACAGCCGGGGAAAATGTTCTCATTGCATTCGGGCACTCTATATTTCAATTTTGTGTGTGTGTGTGTGTGTGTGTGAATTTAAGGATACTACTGTCACGTGTTTGAGTGTGATTATGGATGGGGTATGGACTGGCGAATGGATTTATTGACCACATATACACACGACTTCTAACTACAATTACAGCGCTATTTCTGATTTCCACACTTTACAAATCACCACACATTAATTCTTCCGCAGCCTGCCGTGTTTCATTATTTGTTGCTTACTCATCTGAACAGTACAGTCGTCTGGGTGACGCCGTATATCTCGGTAGAAGTTAAGCGACGTTACGGAGGAAAGTACTGCCTCGTTCTTCAAGGTTAAAATATGCTAAGACACCAACGGCAAGCAAGCAGCAAACTTTTGAAAGCGTACCGGACTACACGGCCTCACTTCCCTTAAGACAGCTATCCTCACAGGCACTGTTGCGTGAACTTCACATCCAACACAATCAGTTCTTTGGTCAACATATCGCATGCCTTTCTCGAACTCTAAAGTTCATTACCGTCGTCACAAAACTCCACCATGGGCAATAATCTTAATTACCAAAATCCAACTCATAACTTCGCACATTTCTTTTTCTAAGGTCAATTTTAATATTATCTTCATACTGAAGCCTATATCTCAAGAGTGATTTCTAAAGGTTTAACGGCTAACATTTTATACTAATTTTTCGTATATCCTGCTCCTGCTACACGTCCAACATATCATTCTCCTTACAAAAAACAAACAAAATTAACTCCGCAGTTTTAGTCCGCAAGTGAACTAGGCGAAGTTAGTGCCAACTTTAGGGGCTAGAGGGTGTCGCGTGGTCAGCGCAACGGACCCCACGGCCTTTCATTTCGGTTCTCTAGACCGGAGCCGCTATTTCCTTGAAATAGCTCCTCAATTATCTTCATGAGGCTGAGTGGACCCCGTTCCAGACCCACTACTTCTCAGAAAACCTGGTAGCGTCGGGAATCGAACCCGGGACCTCTGGATCTGTAGCCAGGAACTCTGACCTCTAGACCACAGAGGCGGCTATCCCATTCTACTGATATGATTATTCATGATTCACTGTTTCAGGAACAGCCACGCCGATGTTCTTCACTTACGACTACAAGGGGCCAATGCATGTGGTGACTGTGGAATGTGATATTCTTCCCGAGAGCCTGTACTTCTGCGTCGTACCCACAAAAGTATTCAAAAGCGAGTATTACATAACAGTATACACCCTAATATTCCTTCCCTTGTTTGTCACTTTCGTCGGATTCTATGTCGTTGTAGCCATGTACATCTGGAAGCGACGTATTCCCACAAACAAAAGTGCGCCTGCGCAGAATTCTTCACACAAAACAGCCATTACAAGCGCCTCCAGAAGAGATACAAAAAAGTACAAGAAAGGTGACACAAAGACGTCACCTAGATATGTTTTCAAAAGCAACACTGAAAGTAACACGGGGTCAAGAAGCACTTTACTGACTGACAGTACCTCTGGAACACCTCTGAACCGCAGAAAGGAAAATTACAGTGGCATGCCCGAAACAAGTTCCCATGTAGAACCGACTGTTCGTACCGTCCAAAGCAAACGTAAAGTACGTACCTTCAAAGTAATTATGGTTCTTATTGCTACTTGTTTCATAGGTCGCGTGCCTAGTTGGAGCTATAATGTGGCGCAGTCGGACCCCAGCATTCGACTGGACGATATGAAATGGTGGCTGTTGCAATACTGGTTTACCATACTTAGTCTGTTTTCAACAGCTCTGAATCCATTCCTTTATTGTTTCCTGAATGAGACACTCGATGTCATTCAGTCTGTCTTCAGATTCGTCCGGAACATATTTGGATATTGTTGCGTGTTTTGGAAGCCGTCGGAAAAGAAAATGGATGTTGAAGCAGAGAGACAAGTAATTGCAGAAGCACAGAGACAGCAGATGAATTCGGTGTCAATAGTTCCAAGAGGACCGTACCTGAATAATGAAGAGAACAGACTGCCCTCTCTTGCGATATCCGTTGAAGTTAATCACATTTAACCTTTTAAAATATGGTTTCTATTAAGGAATCATTTCTCTGTCAGTATATTCCATTGCAAAGTGCATATTTTTTATTGTACAAAATCTTAGAGGTAGACTTGAAGGGGAGAAATCTAATAAGAGACGTAAGCGTAAAAGAAAAAATAATATTACAATGTATCTTAAAGATAGTTCATGAGAATGTGGACTAGGTCCATCTGGTTCTTGACAAGATCCAATGGCGAGTTCTTCTGAAGAACTAATGGGGATTCCTGAAGAAAAGGCTCTACTCAGTTTCTTGATCTACCCAAACGCCAAAAGTTTCCAGATTGTAACGCTCATTTATTTTATTTATTGTGGATTACTTAACGAAACTTGAGAGAATGACTCATGAATAACTAACTGGAAAACTTGTGGAAGGCAGCGGTCTTGACCTTATTTGGAGTATAGGGAAGAGCTGAGATAAAAAAAACTCCGTGGCTTGACTCCGCAAGGGAACTATACCGACCGAGCGATCCCCACTTGTCGACGAAGTTAGTGCCAACTTTAGCGGATAGAAAGCGTCGCGTGGTCAGCGTAACGAATCCCCACGGCCGTTAATTTCGGTTTTCTAAACCGGAACAGCTAATTCCTTGAAATAGCTCCTCCATTATCTTCACGAGGCTGAGTGAACCCCGTTCCAGACCCCCTACTTCTCTGATCTTGTAGCGCCGAGAATCGAACTGAGATAAACCACTGGAAAACACAGTGAGGATACCCGGTGTCCAGGCCGATAGACCGTCCTTCTAACGAGGCTAACTTCTAACACATCTTCTAACTACTTCTAACAGATCTGCAGGTCAGCTTCTTCGTTTTGTGCTTCCACTTGGAGCATAGGACATCCAAGAAACGTTTCATTTCACTTCAGTTTCTTATACTAAGATAGTCAGTAGGACTCCTTGGACGGGAGATCAGTCCGTCGCAAACAGAAACACATAAAAAACAGAGACATCCATGTCCTGAATGGGATTCAAACCCACGATTCCAGTAATCGGCCACTGTGATGAGCTGTGGGTCCACTACTTTCACTAAAGACACGAGGAGATCTCTGTGTTGGCGAAAGTGCATTAAAGAATGACAGAAACCTTTGTTTATTATTATAGGACAGCAGTGAGCAACCATTTTGCTACCCTGGTAGCAAGCTCTATTATAACAATATTTTTATATCGCTATGTAATTTCCAGTGCAGATCTAGTTGCAGAAATCAGTCATCACAGTAACTATGGAACCAGGCCGCGCCATAGCTCAAGCGGTTAGTCGCTGGCTTCCCACCGCGGCGGCCCGGGTTCGATCGCGGGTCTGGTCAAGTGGGATTTGTGGTGGACAAAGTGGCGCTGGGGCAGGTTTTCTCCGAGTACTTCGGTTTCCCCTGCCAATCTTCATTCCACCAATTGCTCCACAATCACCCTCACCTATCATCTGGGGCTGGTACAATAGGCCAGAAGTGGCCGCAGTACAAGGGACTTAGTCCCACCCCACTAGCAATAAAAATACTATGGAGGCAATGCATTTCCATGCGAATAATGTTGATAAGCTTCAAGTGGATGTCGCTCACTTACTTTCAGAATGACACATTATAATATTCCATCACTTTTCGTTAAATAAAAATATCAGAAATTTCTCACTTATTATAAATCCCCCATCCATGAGATAAACATAAGTTTTACAAATAAAAAAAATTAAGGTTCTTTATATCAATAAAATGATAAGTACATATACATGATTTTATGGATGTAATAAATTTGATTTTAAAATATTAACAGGACATACCTTCAGTTTATCATTCGTGACACTATTTCACTGGAACCAGCTTTTCACAAGCACATAAAATAAAGAAGAAATTAAATTTTTACGGGCTCAGTCCCTCAGTAGAAAGAAGAGTGAACTCTTTCACTTATAGCCATCGCATTTGCCTTTATTTTATTTTAGGTACAAATTAAAATGCTGCAAAGCTTATCACGCTGCCTACAAAGTTAGTCATAAAGAAAACTTCTTTGCATTTCCATGAATTTACATTATATTGACAAAATTATCAGATTACAGTATTATGTCTTCTTCATCATAAGGCTCGACAGCTTCCAATATTGAACGCTTTGGCCTGCTCAACAATTTCCTTCCAACTACTTCTGTCCTGTGTCCGAGTTATCCAGTTATAAATTCCTAAACTCCTTTAGGTCTTCCCTTACGTCATATTTCCATCTAATCTTAGGTCGGCGTCTCTTTCTTATGGCGTGTGGCTGTCAGTCATATATTCTTCTAACTGTACAGTATTATGTGTTAACAAGATTAAACTCAGTCTTATTCTCTAAAACAATTAATTCATACAATGGGACATTTTTACACAAATAGTAAGGTTCTGTTAGGGCTCACGTGACTTTAAAACCAGAAAACAGTACTCTTCACAGTCGCCATTCTGAGAACCTCAAATTCTGTTTGAACTCTATGCACATGTTTAGTCAATGTACTTGCATGTATATTCTGTCTGATCAAGGAGTTGCGGTGACAAATCTGCTTTCTTCCCTATTGACGAATACTGTCAACTAGTATGGAGTGGCTATAGATCGGGTTTTGGATTTGATATTGGATTTATTGACTATTATTAACACACAATACGTAATTACATTTAATTATAGCGCCATTACTAATTTCCACACTTTACAAATCACACGCTAAATCTTTTCCAGCCCGCAATGTCTTGACTAGTAGTTACCTGGTAACGGCTTCTAGCAATGGCTATTCCTCTGCTTTCGTGTCCAAGTCCACCCTGAACGGCGACTCCATTTTAACTGAAATATTCTTCAGGGTCAGAATTACTTTACAGCCGGCAGTTTACCGCCAATCAGTTCGTCTTGGAGCCAAACCCCTTGAGACCCACGGCCAGACTTCTTTCCCCCAGTTGAACACTTGCGGTCACGGTCCTTATGTAACAACCTCTCTGACGCGAGGATGGATCTCGTTTACAACTGCTGCTGACCCTCGCTAGCACATTCATTCTCAGGTCCGAGTCCCGCAGGACTCAGAACCACATTCTACTGTCTCAGACTCTAGTCTCCCCCAACCTGGAGCCCAGGTTCCCGTATTTCTAACCCCAGGAACGGGGTGGCCCAGTTATACCCCCAGGCACTGGGTTCCCTTTTCATCGCTTTCTACGACCCGCAGGGCTACGGTGGAGATGATTCGAACCCGCCTCCACAACCTGGAGGGCCAGTCTGCTATACCTTGACGCATAAATTCGAGTCGGATCGAATACAAAACACCGCCCCCAACAGGGCCTCCACATTTTGCGTTTGTATTCGTTGCCGGGCGGGTATGAACTTGCCTAGCTGAGCCGAGCCGAGTCTCATGTTACAGTCGGTCGGCCAATCCGGCCCGGAACAAAGCATCCGTCTGGGACCCACGGTCAGACTTCCACCATCGTCAGACATTCACGGGCACGCCGTTGCGGAGCGCCCCCCCCCCACCCCAACTAGAAGACAGGTCCGCTGTCCACAATCGCTGCCGCTCTCGCCAGTGTAGTCACTCTGGGGCCCGAGTTCCGTGGGACCCGCGACCAAAATCTACTGTCTCAGATTCGAGACTTCCCCTTCCGACGCCCGACAAGAATCGCAGGGCCACGGTGGAGGCACTCCAACCCGCCTTGACATGAGATTAGTAATATACACGTATATATTGTAATTATAGGCCCTGCATGTGACATTATTACTTGTGTAACACTTTCCGTGTTTGGTCACAATGGGCACAGCAGGCTAATCTTGCTTTCTATTGTCCTCCTTATAACATCTCAGCACGGACCAAGCAGAAAGACCGTTCCTCTGTTGCATGCGAATCCTTTGCAGCGGGAACGTGTTTACGACGGTATATCCCTGCTTATGAAGAATCTATCGCCTAGTAACGAACATCGTTCCGTTGTCTGTTTCGTGGCCGTTGCCAAGTAACGAATGTTACAGCAACTGCTGTTTCTCTGGCTCCACAGTTTATGCTTTCAGCAAATATGGCACAAAATACACAACGTGTGTAACCTCAATCTCGTCGTCCCTTCACCCCTTTGAAAACCTGCGTTGCGATGTCAGTATTCACTAATGGGCTCAGCAAAACCGGCATTCCTTCCTTGTCCAGTCGGCATATACAGGCTGTACTACCTTCTGAATCCCAACCAGTGAATATTTAGAGTTCTTCCTCCGGGGGCAAAGCGGCCGGGGCGTAAAGCTGAACATTCACCTCCATCTAATGTTGAGGCAAAAATAGTGGAGCTATATCTACACTCCCCCATACGTCTCCATATCGTGGTACTTAATTCATTAAGCACAGGGACAATTTTACCTTTTCGGTTTGTTCAGGACGTGTATGGAACAGGCAAAAATTCACAGTGGTAAAGTTGTCCCTGTGCTTAACTAATTAAGCACTACGCCGTGAAGGCATATGGGGGAGTGGATGTGTAGATCCACGTTTTCTTGACCTAGGCACTAATTGGAGGTGAGTGGTCAGTTTCACGCTACAGCCACTTTACTCCCGAAGAAAGAGCCCTCGGTATCCAAAGGTTAAGAGGTTCGGTGGACCCCAGAGCCGGTCTGAATGATGTAGAGAAGTAAAAATTCTTGCTGCCCACCGGGACTTGAACTCCGAACCCTTGTCGTCCAGCCCGTAGCCAGTCGCTATACCGAATGAGCTATCCTGGCTTCCCAACTCGCAATGGTCAGTGGCGATATCATGTTGGCTTCCTAACGGACAAGCACTCGGGAAATAGCCTACTTCTGAGCTCCGAAGTGAGCTCAGTGTATTGCAACTTGTGTAGACCGTCGTGTCATTGTGAACTACGTACGTCATTTGCCTGTTCCTGGCCCTCGTTTACTTCAGTTCCACACAGTTTCTGAATATTATAAGAGATGTTGCAACCGTAGGATGCGCAATGCTGTGGTGACAAGGGAACAATTTTCATGATAATGATGATGATTTTTTTTCCTTCGCACTACAGCCCCAGTGGGCCTAGGCCTACCTCCATGAACTTCTCCGTTCACAATGATGATGATTAGATTGTATAATATTTATATAAACATAGTAAATAAGCTGCTCTATGTTCTATTTCTTTTACTTAATGATTATCAAAGAGGTGCCATCTACTTACAGTTCCACACAGGACGATGGATTTACTGAACCCCAACGGATAATTTGTTAGTGGGGTGGGTTTAAGTCCCTTGTACTGCGGCCACTTCTGGCCTATTGTACCAGCCCCAGATGATAGGTGAGGGTGATTGTGGAGAAATTGGTGGAATGAAGATTGGCAGGGGAAACCGAAGTACTCGGAGAAAACCTGCTCCAGCGCCACTTTGTCCACCACAAATCTCACTTGACCATACCAGGGATCGAACCCGGGCCGCCGCGGTGGGAAGCCAGAGACTTACCGCTTGAGCTATGGAACGGACCTGACCTATTGACTTGGTTAATATGTTCAAATAAAACTCTGCACATAAACGAACATAATCTCTTAACCTAATTTCCTAAGCACAAACACACATGACGTTAAATGGGCCGTCAAGATGGGCTTACCACGTTATCTGAAATCGGTTACAGATGCTTTGTTTCTCTCCAAACAAGGCACGTCCTGAACTCTAACAGTGTGATATGTTTATTGCCCCACTTACTGCAATCTAACATGCAGTTTGCGAAATGAGCATCTGTGTTGAAAAATGCTGTGCGCCGTAGTTAATTCACCTGCCACGTTAAACAATTCGCCATAACCTCTTGCTGATCGACGAATACACGACACGTTTTTCATCCGTGATAACTCCACTACTCTCCTGAAAACTTTGCTAAAAGCTAAATGTATACATCATAAAACATATCTCATCTCTTACCTTAACCCAGGCAGCACGCAATCGTTGTAACTGACGCTAAAACTGCTGAAGCAACACAACCCGCCAAGCCAAACCTAGCTCAGTTTACATCACAGTTCATCTGCTCTGTATTACACTGGTTTATAAATCTAACTATTGTAACACACGCCATTGTACATTATCTCACATATCATAACACTGAAAACCTTATAACTTGTAATATAAAACTCACGAATCATAGAAATGTAACACTTCACGCCGCTACCGCTCTTACTCCCACGAAACGGAACTCCGCGTAGAACTTCCGGTTCGATACACTCGTCAAAATTCGACTGTCGCCTTCGGTAATATTCACGAATGTAAAAGAAATACCTCGAAGTTATGCTCATTGCAGGACCTACCTTACATTATATGTGACTGGTAGCAATAGATGATGTGTTATCCCCCAATGGCAGAGGTTCGATTCCCAAGAGGTTAATGAAAATTTTTATTTTTCATCACAACGTGATAAACGTCTCCCAGTACCCTTGATTACTGTTTCAAGTAAGCCAGGATTTCATTTAGTTAATTTTATTAATTATAATTTGTTATGATTATGCAGTACAGCTGAGTACAGTTCTTTTCTACATGGCCAGGCCTTGCCCATATTTATAATGTAACTAAATATTTTCATCGTAAAGATTTATGTCTTCTTAGATATATCGCTCTACCTTCAGGTAGATCGTTACCAATATTTCGGAGTACATGCTGTCCCCATTCTTCGGGGTACAGGAGTGAAGATGGAGGCGGGAAATAGCTCCGAAACGTTGAGAACGGTTTATCTGTATATACGGCATACAAAACCTCCTACGACAGCTGGTAGTTGTTCAAGGAAATTCCATATGCCCTATGGAACCGCAATACAACTGTGGTAACAATAAAAAAGCATTGAACCCACTATCAAGTCCATTAAATCAAATCCACAATCTCACACCGTATTTTCCTAATATCCATTTTAAAACTATCCTCTACTTCAGAAGGAATCTGCAGTAAACATAAAAGTTACGGCACTGAATATCATGTGGGATTTGTGGTAGACAAAGTGGCGCCGGGGCAGGTTTTCTCCGAGTACTTCGGTTTCCTCTGCCAATTCTCATTCCACCCACAGCTCCACGCTCATCATCTATCGTCCGAGGCTGATACAGTAGGCCAGTTAGTGGCCGACTTACCAAGTGGAATCAGTCTCACCCCACCACAATAAACAAAAAAACTACAGTACTTAGTCATACAACAGACTTACTCAGTGCTCAGTGTGGTACTGTAACACCCCACAATTAAGTGCCCAGTATGGTTCCATTAAAACCAATAATTAAATTCCCAATGCAGTACCGCAGTACTTAAACTCTCAGTACTGTAAAGTTATACTCAGCAAATAAAGGTTCAGTGTTGTCCTGTTACACCCTTCCTTCCTTCTTGCGTTGTAGCAACACTGTCCACAGGTATCACTGGCCCAAAAATTCGCATGAATTTCAAAAGTCTGCATTAAACTGTTAACCACACGTTACATCCCCCCCCCCACTAAAGTCACGTAGGAACAGTCACTCTCTTGTCCTTCATCCAAGCCTCGCATTCGGAGAGCGCCTTGCCAACCACCTCCAACATCTTTCTGCCAGAAGAGAACTGAGGTTCTGGCTCCAAGATCTCGGTGGCCCTCAGCAAGAAACCCTTGGCCTCCAAGGCCCTGCGAGTCGTCTCCTCAGCAGATAAAGCAGGTGGGTTCTTCTCAAAAGCACGACGCAAGAGATGAAACTCAGCAGAATGAAGTTCATGGAGCAAAACCGAGGAATAGAGTGCCAGTCTAGAGGCGCCCGGGTCCAAAATGTCCGTTACGGCAAGCAATTCCCGACACATATCTGTTAACACGCAAATTATATTACTTTAGTGTTTCGAAGTGTGGTTAGTACCAGGGGTGGAATGGATTCTCAGAAAAATAGACGTTACAGATCAATAGAAACACTGAGGGGAATGAGGAGCACGTAAATAACTAACTACATGGAGCTGAGTCCTTCTTGAGAAGCGGTCAGTCGCTCAGCTACTCAAGAATTTCCCAAAATTTTATAATGCCCAGTTTCATTACCGTCTTCACAAAAACCCGCCACTGGTACCTACCCTGAGACAGATAAATCCAGTCCATACTACACCATCCTAATTATCCAAAATCCATTTCAATATTATCCTCCCATGCACGTCTAGGTCTCCAATGTTATTTCCTTCCCACCAAAACTCTGTATACATTTCCCTTTTCTCTATGTGTGCAACATACCCTGCCCATCTCTTATTCCTTGGCTTGATTAGTGTAATTATTTACTAACAGATATTAAAAGGAAATCATTACGAGTGCAATGTATCCTCGCGAATTTGTTCCTGCATGCTTCATTGTTGGGAACAATTGTTAAGACGTCTTAGCTTGCTCAAAATGAAGCTCTCTAGAACAATTAAATGGCGTCTACCACCGTCTGTCTCCGTTTCTAGTCATGGTTGGTACGCATCCCTTTTCCGAATATTGTTATATTATGACAATAATCTCAACTTCTTCCCACCGAGCATACTACTTCAGTGAGAACCCTCAGATAACAAGGAGATATCCTGTTTAATTTTTTTCTTCTTGGCACTACAGCCCCAGTGGGCCTAGGCCTACCTCCATGAACTCCGTTCACTTCGGTTTTTCTAGATCTTACACATTTGGTAGGACTCCTTGGGCAGGTGATCAGCTCGCCGCAAGGCCTATACCTGTACACAAACACAGAAAAACGCACACACACAAACTAAACATCCATGCCTTAAGTGGGATTCGAACCCATGATTCCGGTTTAGAAGCGAGCGAAGACAGTGCATGCCTTAGACAGCTCGGCTACTGTGACCGGCCCTGTTTAATTTTAGTAGAATAAATTTCTATCCTATATTCAAAATCTAGTCCTGTAACTCCTATTTTACTGTACACTCGATGTACCTCTTATTCTCCAAAATTATCTCTGTCCATAATAATTCCAGCAAAATATAAGCACGCATTTCTTCTTTCTTCATGCGTGCTACATGTCCCGTGAGTCTCACATGATTAAATGTGCTCTGAAGTGGAGAAGCCATGTATTTATATCTCGGTTGAGAAACTACTCGTAGCTATCCTTACTGAGATTTCAGTATTTTTCTTCGTCACTTCCCAAGCGAATGCCAGGGTACCGTTTCCAAATAGGTTACGACCTATTTCAAATCATTTTTCACAGATTATCCTGCCACTGGACGTTACGGGCCTGTAAGTCATGCATCATGACGTTCATGAAAGCTCTTCAGATAAACTAAGCGTCAATCCCTGACATGAAATGTAGACACGGTTTTCCTACAACAGTAAGGCAGGACTCGTACATACCAGCTTTTCTCTGCAGCTGCTGGTCGCTGAGCTGGTTGATCTGGTACCCATGTTGGTGTCCATAGAGTTGCACCAGCGAGTGTTTAATGGAATACATATGATAGTGGTGGGGGTGCAGGAACGTGGACAGTTTGGACACAAGTTCCTCCAGTTGCTTCACAGTCGGGCATCCCTGTCAACAACATGAATATCCGTGGCATTGAAGATTAAGGTTTTGTCTTCTGGCACGTGACACCCTGAATTATAGTGGATGGTAAACGACATTTCGGAACAACCTGCTGTATCCATCTTATGAATGTATTGTGAAAACATGACTACACGTATTCATAAATTGATACATTCCGACATCTGAGGGCAGTATTGCTTACGCTAGTTTTCGTCTTACCCTGAAGATGGAAGCACCATGTTCCTCCGAAATATTGGTAACGCCTACCGGACTATATGATGCATAACCAAAAAGACCATAATCTAATAACACGCATAAACTTTCATAAATTCAACTGATCTAGTGTCCGAGGAAAAAAAACACAGTGTTCTTTCTGAAAAAGTTGGTGAGCATGTATCAGACTGAACGGCGACATAACCCACATGACCGCCATCTGAAAGTGTTCTCCAGTTTTAATTACGCATGTATTTAAGTGCCTTTCGCATAGGCCTGCATAACTGGCATTGGAAGATCTTAAATTCTCACGGCAGTGACTCTGAATAATGCATTCTTCTAGAATGTGGCAACATATGATCTATTGGATCGCTATAAACCTTTGGGAGAAAGTCGCTGCTGCCATCTTTATCTTTTGTCTCTTCTCGTATACTTCCACTCTGAAGATGGAGATTAACTACTCCGTAAACGTTGGAAAAGATCTACCAGACTACACTGCGTCACGTCGCATAAAACAATGTTCATCATAATTGGCGTTGCTCATCTGCTAATGATTATGCAGGTCAAATTGATAATTTTTATTCAAGCTGAAGCTTGCCGCTTCGCCTCGGTGGCCGAGGAGGTAAACTGCCGGTAGTCAAATTCTGAATTAGAAGTTCGATAGTTCAAATCTCGGCTTTACTTCAATTATTAAGTTTCGTTTTTTTAATTTTTCCTTAAATCCTCTAGAATATTCCAGAACATTCTAGAGAATTCTAGGATAGAAATTAATACTTATCTTTGCGTATAATCGAACATTAATTTCCGCCCAGCTCTCATATGAAAGGGGGCCGTTTTCCTACGAGCCGCACTCACTCCAGAGTAACCTCTCTTTAGGCCGCTCCATAGCTCAAGCGGTTAGTCGCTGGCTTCCCACCGCGGCGACCGGGGTTCGATCCCAGGTCTGGTCAAGTGGGATTTGTGGTGGACAAAGTGGTGCTGGGGCAGGTTTTCTCCGAGTACTTCGGTTTCCCCTGCCAATCTTCATTCCACCTATTGCTTCACAATCACCCTCACCTATCATCTGGGGCTGATTCAATAGGCCAGAAGTGGCCGCAGTACAAGGGACTTAGTCCCACCCCACTAGCAATAAAGAAAACTCTCTTTAATGCAAGCTCTCCTCATCAGCAACGGAACACTCAGGATTGCATGAATCACCAAAGATTGTGGAAAGTCAGTCTTATTGTAAACAAATTATTAATGCACTGCAATAAATCAGAAGTGAAACGTTTTACAATGCTTATCAACTTTGTTTCCGTACTGGAACACTGACCGCTCTCCACTTATTCCGTTAAATAATCAAAATATAGCAAAATGTTTCAATTCGGAGTTTCCTCTACTCACGGCCTGGATATTGTCCACCTCCTCTCCGATCCTTGACACAAGGTCAGTCACGTCCGATGATGCCAAGAGGACAGGACAGCGGTCGCAGCGCCAGTCAGAGTTCTCTTCCAGTGGCGAAATTGGTAACTGTGTGCCTCCACATGATGCCCCGTCTCTAGAAACACAGATATTGGCAAGACATGGTCAAAATAGTTATCAATCTACAAGTGTCGACCATTCACACACACACACACACACATTGACATAAGAGCGACAATGACATCTAATACTGCCATAATAGTGCAAAGTAGGGGACTACGATGAGCTGGACATGTAGCTAGCATTGGAATGCAATGGGTCACTAAACATTCTTACGGGATATCTTCAAAGTAAGAATCTATTTCGATGATCTAGGGGTAGATGGGGAAATAAAATTGAACTGGACCTTAAAAAGAGTTATATAAGGTTACCAACTCCGTCCAGAGTAATTGATAAATGTTTTTTTATCTTTGATTTATCAATCACACTGGACGGAGTTGATACTCTTTAATAATATTGCTAGTGTGACGGACCAGGATGAACCAAATCAAACTTAAAAAGAGGGTTTGAAGAAGTAAACGGATTCAACTGGCACAAGAATTGTGCGAATGTGACGATGAAACTTAGAGATCCCCAGAGGCAGAGAGTTACTGAAGTTTTCAGAACTGACCACAGAATGAGTTAGTGAATGTAACATACAATTATAAAGAGTTTCAGGCACACCATTCTGAGATGTGACCCCGTATTGTCTGGCAGAATTATCCCAACTTTTCTGCCTCCGTCTTCAAGGTCGAAATGTAAGCAAAACAAGTAGCAAGCAAAGTGTTCGCTCCCGGCTTGATTGCTCATCTTACTCTTTCGATCCTGAGGATGGATGCATAACGTTCTTCCGAAACGCAAGTTAAGTTCCACCAGGCTACGCGGCAGATGATAATACCGTTCACAATTACCGCAATGAAGCCTCATATCTCATAGGAGACCTCAGTAAAATGATATGTTTGATGTGTGAAGAGTCAGTGTTTTATGGCATAAAGTTCACTATCGCGGATGCTCCCATTGTCCACTTGTATGATGTAGGCAATACTGACATAGGCGTAATACTTACGTATCAGGGGTAAGGATATGAGTTCCTAAGCAACGAATTCCACTAATGTAGGTTCCCAGCTCCGTGGGATCTGCGCATCTCTTGCACCTACAGGTGAAGTACTTGGTGGCAGCCAGGTGTTCCATGCGAGCCTGTGTGCCCCACAGCGCGTGCGTGTACATTGTCGAGATGTGTTCACCTCTGTAAATGTAACCCTACAATTACCAAGTGTAGAAATGTTCGACTTTTTCAAACAGTGTTATATGACAATATGTGAGATTTGTCGGCATTTTATCAGAACTGTGTATTTCAAGACACATTAGCTGGGAATTTTTTCCTCCCTCTAGCTCTACAGCCCTTTGGACCCTGGCCGCTTTTTCAGTTGCTTAATCTTTACACAGACCGTAAGGCTCGTTGGTGGAGTGATCAGCCCATCACAAGGCCTCGACGTACACACAGGACAACACAGACATCCATGCCTCGAGTAGGATTCGAACCCACGGTCCCAGTGTTCGAGCTGAAGAAGATGGATTATATCTTAGACCGCGCAGCCACTGTGATCAGCAGCAAGGAATTATAGCTACAATTTACGTAGAGATTCTACATATATTAACCACGAAAGGGCACCAACTCTGAAACCCCAAAATGGCAATAGAAATTTTGAAGACCCAAAATAGCACCTTGAGAATGCAGAAATTAAAGCTGACTATTCTACGTTTAATTAATGCGTATTCATTATTTCAGAAAGTATTGAATGAATTAACTAATTAAGCACTACGCCATGAAGACGTATGGGGGAGTGGTTGTATATATCCACATTTTCTTGACATCGGCACTAGCTGGAGGAGAGTGGTCAGCTTCATTCCCCGGTCGCTTTACCCCGGGGAAAGAGCCTCCGGTACCCTTTGAATAGGAGGTTGAGTGGATCCAAGAGTCAGTCTGGACGACGTGGGGAACAGAAAATTATTGACGCTACTGGGACTAGAACTCCGACCCCTCGACCGTCCAGCCCGTAGCCAGTCGCTATACCGACTACGCTATCCCGGTTCCACTAAATGGATTGCTCAAAAAATAATTTAATGCATTGAGGATCTATACCACAATTACTGAGTAATTTAATTTTATCCGTTCCATAACTCGGATAAGTACTGAGTTCTCACCCTGGTCCCTCACCCCCTCCCCAGCGAATTCAATCACCATTCTATACTTGCTCCATATCCGTCTGTCACAGACCCCTGAGGTATCCAGCAGTCCTCACCAGGCAGCACATTATCACTTCCTCCGTCTCCTGAGTTAGGGGCTTCGGCTATGACCGGCGCTCGGTTGATTGCAGTGTAAGGAAGTCAGCAAAGTAACTGTCCACAAGACAGACGGCGGAACCTCATTAAAACCACGAGAAACCTCAATCAAGATAGCCGTTTTCCCGACAGAAATTCGAACCAAGCAAGTTTCACGTTCTTTCGAAGCAGAAGTAAAATTTGCTTTCGTAAAATTCAGTTCTTATAGGAGTATAAGTTTAACTTCTGTTTCAAATTAGTGTATATTTAATCCTTATGAGCCAGTATATTTCAGTCGCCATAGCAACCGGCTATGGGCTAGGCGGACGGGGTTCATTCCCGACAGGGATAAGAGATTTTTCTCTACCCCACAGCTTCCAGACCGACTCTGTGGTCCACCCAGCATCCTATCTAATGGGTAAGCGGGAATAAAGCGGCCCGGGCGTGAAACTGACAACACGCCTCCTTATTATCAAAGTACCCGTCAATAATGCAGCAATATAAGACATCAAGAATATGTCACTCACTAAAAACGTATTTTAATACTTTATGATGTTAAAATCATTAAAATGTCAATAGGACACTAAAAGTATATTTTATACATTAAAGTGATTATCACATTTCTAAAATGTCTCTAGTTTTTTGTAGTTTACGACATTTTTCGGTCGCATATGGGCCATCATCAGGTGATTTTTCTTTGTGCTTTTGGGGAGACCACTGCGCTGTTCACTTGTCCACAGTGTTCCCATGCCCGTTAATGTTTAGTTCTATCTCATGACTAGTCGTTGCACTCTTTTGCGACTATCGTAGTTTTGTGTGTCGTATAAAAACTTGGACTTAAATTTGAGGTAGAAACTAGTGAAATGCTACATTTGGAGCATAGCTCTGTATGGGGCTGAAACATGGACACTTAGGGCAGTAGATCAGAAACACCTGGAAAGCTTCGAAATGTGGTGTTGGAGAAGGATGGAGAAGATCAGTTGGACCGATTATGTGAGAAATGAAGAAGTGTTAATTAGAGTCAGTGAGCAGAGGAATATCCTACACGAAATAAGGAAACGGAAGGTTAATTAGATTGGTCATATCTTACGCAGTAACTGCCTTCTAATAGAAGTTATTGAAGGAAAGATAGAGGGGCGGATAGAAGTGACCAGAAGACGAGGAAGAAGACGTAAGAAGATGCTGGATGACCTTGGGGGCAGAAGAGGATATTCTCATTTGAAGGAGAAAGCTCTAGATCGCATTAAGTGGAGGAACTGTTTTGGAAGAGACTGTGGACCTGTCGTCTTGCCAGATTACTAATGAATGAATAAAAACTACGCTAGGTCAAGAATGGTGGAGCTATACCTCCACTCCTCATATGTCTTCATGGCGTAGTGCTTAACTAATTTAGCACAGAGCCAACTTTACCGTATGTAGGATTTGAGGTTCTCACAGCCGTAGTTTCGAGGAATTCTATCTTCTTGGATACAACGCCGTATAGTCCTTGAAAGTCAACCGACGTTTCGGAGGAACATGTCGCCTCCATCTTAAGCAGTTCCACATGTTTTTACGCTGGATTCTTGTTAGGCTCGTTCTTCGAACCTGAAGATGGAGACGGAATGTTCCTGCGAAATGTAGGTTAACTTTCAACGGACTACACGGCGTTATATTCCACAAGACAGAACTCTTCAGAACCACGGTATCCGACGAGAAGACAGAACTGTTCTGAACTGAATTGTCCAAGTACTCGTATGTCCCTTATACGTGTACAATCTACTCCTAGTTTCTACGTACGGACAGACACAAGATTCTCGCCAGAAGCAATACTCACTTCTGGATGTGTCGCGTGGCCTTCACCGAGACCCGGTACTGTCTGTCACCCGGGCAGATCTCAACGCTGTACCGTGTGTTGGGGAGACAGTTGTGTTCCATCAGACAGACTGTGGGGTATAGGGCGACAACCTCTGACCCTAGGGCTAGCCGAATGTCCAGCCCGTTTACATCCAGGATCCCACAGATTCTGTGCAGAGTGTTCTCGGAACAGTCCTGCACAACTGTTTCCCCTTCCTTTCCAACTGTAGGCAGTTTCTGCAGGTAGTTCTCTTGAAGGTATCTCACTACGCGGTCTCGGATCTCCCTGAGAACCGAAGACAAGAAATATGTATACAGAGTTTTAGCTTTATGCTTGTCTGTAAGTCTGTGTATGTTATGTTGCTTTCACTCATTGCCATGCAAATATGTCGTCTTCACTTATTCAGACAGGTAAAATATTAATTTATATAACTGTAGTTTTAATTGTATTTGCATTGTACTCATTGTGTGGAGTGTGTCCTTTGTTGTCTGTGTAGGTTTGTGCGCTGTGCTCTGTTTGAACGTGGCGCGTTATTTTGTTCGACGTGTGTTGTTTGTGTGTTGTGTCTTACTGTAGTACTACTGACACCCGGTAAAACCCCAATTTGCAGTTAAAATAAATAAATAATAATAATAATTACAGTATTTAAATGGGGGCATGCGGTAGCGTAGCTGGTTGAGGCACTCTATTACAAGCCGGAAGGTCGAGGGTTCAATTCCTGATGAGGTTACTGGATTTTTTAATTGACCTAACCTTCCAGCCGCACTAACCGTATGGCCCTGGAACCGGATCAGCCTCAAAGAGAAATATATCCCATGAATCTTCCTGGGGATAAAGGGCGGCCGGTGCGTTATGCCCAAAACCTCACCGCCATCTGTGAGCCGACTCTCTGTTAAATGTTGGAGCCTCGACGTCTCACAAACCTATGGGCCTCCACGCTCTGTTATAAGGATAGCTTTAAAAATAATATTTAAATTCTATTTGTTATTATTGTCGTGGAATTTTATTGTGGAACTCTTATTTTCACTTTGTGAAACCCCGAGGTTCCCCTTAACACCATTTTGGAAACACTGCTCAATTGATTTCAACAAAGGTGTACTTCTCTCGAAGATGTATTCCCACGTAGAATGGAGTGACGCTAGTGAGCTTCCGTGAGTTCGCGCCTGCTCATTGCATCTTACCTAAGAGATCTTGGTTTCTTTCGTGATTACCAAAAATGCAACTGCGTATGCCTGTTACCATATAATTTCTGTGACGGGTATACTCGTCATCATACAGAGTGTCCGAGAATGAGTGCACACACTTTAAACATTTTTATTTAGGAAATGAACAGTTTTCGGTTGAAATTAATTCAGCAGATATAAAGCGAATTTCTCGTGTTTATCTGGAAGTACTCAGTAAGAAGGCAACTGTTTACATTCTGGTTTCTAGTTCCACTGTACCTGTAGGTATCAGTACCGGGTCCCCTGTGCCTCAGATGTGCTTCCATCTGCAGAAGCTGATCCCACTTACGGGGGTTACGTCGCTGCAACAGCAAACATCTAAGCGGCGTCACGGCATCATAATGGTAGACACTAACGTCTTTCCGGGCAGCCGCCGTCAAGTTTTGCTTTCCCTGTAGGCTAAGTATGGAACACTCTGGGGCGTGAACTTTAGGGTCCGCAGGACAGCTTGGCCCGCAACAAGGCCATAGGCATTTGGGACACCTATACTCGCTGTCATAACGAGTAGGGACGTGGCACAACAGACACAGTGGATCCTCACTGTGCAGCTTTGGTCCCACAATCAGAGGCCCCTCGCTGATGATTATGTCGCCAGGTGAAAGATCACGTGATGCCACAAGGTACTTCCCCAGTTCCGGTGAGGTGCAGACCTGTAATTATACAGAACGTTCATGAATACGATTTACTAATAAGAGAATGGTTTCCCTCGGAAGGATCCTGAAGTCGGGTGAAGTGTGAACTTGAAAATAGTCCTCGGATTATACAGTGTGTTCCGAAATATACGTCGGTAATTACAGAATGGTCTGTCTTGTGAAAATGGACCTTAAATTGTACAGGTTGTTCCGAAATGTATGTCAATAATTGGAACATAGTCTGCGACGTGGCAACACCCTGCTCTCTTGTGAAACGCTAAGCTAAAATGGTGCAATAGAATTTGTACAGAATGTTCTAGAATTTGTCTTGCTAGTCAAGAAATGTTAAAGTTATACATTCCGTTGTATCCTAGATGTTCCTTCTCGGAATCTGTTCAGGCGCCGTGGGTTTATAGTTCAATGATATCCTCAACCCTTATTATCTCTTCTTCTTTTCCAGTATAAGGAAGACACTGAATCATAAAGGCGGATGTTAGCGGAGAATGAGGGAATGGAACTTAGTACAAGTAGTTCGGATATATGTAAGATTTGAGGCTTTCACGGCGGTGACTATGAAGAAAGCAGTCTTCTGGGATTTGGCACCGTGTATATGTGGTGTTAACCGACGTTTCGGAGGAACGTATCGCCTCCATCTTCAGGGTAGAAGAAAAAATATAAGAAATCTGCAAAGCGAAGAGACCGTGAGAACCGGTAAAAGCAGACTGGAGGCGATACGTTCCTCTGAAACGTCGGTTAACACCACATATACACGGTGCCAAATCCCAGAAGACTGCTTTCTTCACAGTTCGGATATAATTGATAAAGTAGGTGAAGTGACACAAGCTATACTTCATCTGCTATAGAAACGAGGGTGTCACAGCTGGTTAATGAAGCAGGTTGTTACGTCGTCATCACAACGTCACTAGATTCTGCTTTCTGCACACGTCTGGTATTCATACGCCAGAAGGAAATTCAGACATGCTTAAACACATAAACGAGATCTAAAAATTTGTGATGAAGCTATATTAATACAGGGTTATTCATAAGTCCGTGAAACATTTTAAAAATTCACAACAAATTAACTATACATCGAATCATGATAATTCTTACGCCGATAGAGAATGAATCTCTCCTAGTTTTCTTAAAACCTCCATTGCCTGCTAATCTCAGGGATCTTCGCAACCGTATCACCGCTGCTGTGGCTCTGGCCAACCGTCATATTCTGACACGGATGTGGGACGAAATGGATTATCGCGTAGTTGTCTGCCGTATCAGCAAAGGTGGACACATTGAGCATCTGTAACTATGTAAAGAACTTGGTGACTTTATCTCTATTTCAGTTTATCAAAATTTCGTATCCGTTGCAAGTTTATTTATTGTAAAATTTCAAAATATTTCACGAACTTATGAATAACTCTGTATAATTATCAATTTTTTTTATACATTATCATCTACATAATTTATCTTTCTGCCTCAAACCCCGCAGCTGATGTCTGATCTGTCGTGCTTACTCACACTTCTCCTCACCGGACATAGTGGCTAACTCTAGAGATTGGGCCTAAAGCAGTAAGTTCTTTATTTGAGGAAGAATACAGAGTCCCTCTCCGAAACGTCGACTCGAATAAAGTATTTGGACGATGGATAATGCCCAGAAAATGGACAGCTATATTTATACGGGACGTTCGTTCCATAAACTTGCTTACATTACATATGACGTGGCCGGGTTCATACAGTAGATGGAGTTTATCATTAGCCTTCACTATCAAGAGGGTAAGTAGTAGCGTAGTTGGATGAGGCACTATGCTGCAAGCCGGAAGATCGAGGGTTCGATTCCCGATGAGGTCATTGGATTTTTTAAATTTACCTAAACCTTCCAGCCGTACTATGAACCTGGGTTCGACTCAGCCTCTAGCAGAAATAAGTATCAGGAATCTTTCTGGGAGTAAAGGGCGGCCGGAGGGTAAGGCTGACAACCTCAGCGCCATCTGTGAGCCTTATGTCTAGTAAATATGGGAGCCTCGATGTCTCAGAACCCTATGGGCCTTCACGGCCTGTTACAGGGATAGTTTTACCCGTTACCTTCACTACCAAGTCAAGGATTAGTGAAATCTGTGTAGACACACAACTACGAGTTGGATTTCACAATATAGTACTCACCTCAAAAGGACTGCATGAGATCTTGTGGTTCTTCCAGTCCTGTTTCTGGTGCTGCTTGCTGCAGTAAGATACTTGCTTACAGGCACTACACCTGTGGGCCGCAGGAGAGGAGCACACCTTACAAGTATCGACAGGCATCGCACTGGAAAGTTAAATAAATATTTTGGTCGTTGGAAACGCATCACAGAACTGTTGGGTTGTGGGGTGCGAGTAACCCTACGGGGGGATGTCGGGAAAAATACGTTTATATTTCATTTAAACATGTTCGAGGGACGTCATTGTCCTCAATAACGTTGTTTACACATAAATATAGTAAACACTCGTCATGTGGTGACAAACAAGGGAGGAAGTGAGTCCGTTATCGCCGATGTCCGTTATAACCGAGTGAATGGGTATGCACGGAAGTACGCCATAGGAAACACGGCCATTACAGACATTAAATATAAAATTATGACATAAAGATTTTACATTGGGATATTTTCTAATTCTAAATAATTTTCAGACGACAAGAACCGGGATACCTCAGTCAGTATAACGACTGGCTAGGGGCTGCATGGCTTAGGGTTCGGAGTATGAGTCCCGGTAGGAGCAAAGTTTTCTTTTCTCCTCCTCTTCCAGACAGGCTCTGGGGCCCACCCAGCCGCCTATTCAATGGGTACAGGGGGCTCCTTCGCAGCAGGTAAAGCGGAAGGGGCGTGAAGTTGACCACTCACCTCCAACTACTACCGAGGTCTAGAATACGTGGATCTATACAGCCAATCCCCCCATGGCGTAGTGCTTAATTAGTTAAGTGACGGGACAATTTTACCTAGTTCTAGCTATGAAGTCTTCTTAGTATCTCAGCATCTCTAAATTGTACACAGACAAAATTGTCCGTATGTACGCAAAACGTTATATCCGGGTCCGTTATAACGAGGATTTACTGTATTTATATATACGTACGAGTATATATTGTTAGTGCGTTGTTCACGAAACTGTTGGTATGGCAGGCTGTTAATGTACAGTAGTAACGGGAACGGGAACTGGTCTGGAACAGCAACAGTGGCCACATTGATTTACTACCCTGTCACATACTTGGAGAGACTGAGGAAAAGAACAAAAAACTTCAGTCACGCTAGGAGGTGTCGCGGGAGATATTCGAACCAGAAATCTCCCGAATCAAGTCTACAGCGTATTAAAACGAAGGTTATACAAGGTGTCCCAGGAGAAAAGGTCAATATTCTGGGAGATCACAGTATCGGTGATTCCAAGCAAAAAATTGTATATGTACACGTGTCCTATTCCGAGCGGTTTCCGAGATAGAGCTATTTCACTGTACAGTTGTAACATTATTGATAAGAAATAGATATTACGTACTGCTTCTAATGCCGGTATTTATTGTTCAAGTGACAAAGTTGGTACAGTTCCCCCCACCCCTTGGCACTACAGTCCCAGTGGGCCTAGGCCTACCTCCATGAACTTCTCCTTTCACTTCGTTTTTTCTAGATCTTACACATTCGGTAGGACTCCTTGGGCGGGTGATCAGCTCGTCGCAAGGCCTCTACGTGTACCTGTACACAAACACAGAAAAACGTACAGACACAAACTAAACATCCATGCCCTGAGTGGAATTCGAACCCACGATCCCGGTTTCCAAGCGAGCGAAGATAGTATATGCCTTAGACCGCTCGGTTACCGTGACCGGCTGTTAGTACAGTTTACCTAGTATAATACATTTTCCAAAATTCCACCGTCAACATCAATGCACTTTGCAACTCTCATGAGGGCAGCCTTCAGCATATCAGCATATTCGACATTTGTGTAGATGTGCGGTATTTCAGAACACTCCTGCAATGTCACTATCAACAGTCACAACGGCCAACTGACGCTTCACACAAATTCACATACAAGAGGGAAGGACAATATCGGATGTACAGTGAAATAGCTGTGTCTCAGAATAGGACCCATGTACATATACAGGTACAATATTTTGCTGAGAATGACCGATACTGTGACCTCCCACAATATTGACCTTTCCGCCTGGGAATTTCTTTTAGTTTCGCGGTGTGGGGTGAGACTGAGTCCACTTGGTACGGCAGCCACTGGCCTACTGTACTAGGCCCGGGTGATAAATAATGATGAATGTAGAACAGTCGGTGGAATGATAATTGGCAAGGGAAATCGAAGTACTATGAGAAAATATGCCCCAGTGCTATTTTCTCCACCACAAAACCCACATGACCTATCCTGGGCTCGAACCTGGCCCGCCGCGGTGGGAAGACAGCGACTAACCGCCTGAGCTATGGTACGGCCTTCCTCCTGGGACATGTGTACAGTATACGTCATGTTTTAAAGTGGCATTTTATACGTGAGGCTATCACATACATCTTGACGGTGACGCAGCTACCTCCGCAACGACGTCAGAACATACCGTAGCCCCCGGAACGCGCAGCCATGTTGTGCGCTAGGACAGGACTCGAGTCACGCCTGGCAATGGTACCATCGGCTGGCAGCCATTGCTGCACGACGAGGCCCATCAGAACACTGTGTACGAAATGCAACGTATCACAATTGTGTTGTACTTACAATTCATGTGACACGGTATATCCCTTGATGCAACGTCACTAAGAAGTCATTGGCTTCTCACAACCTGAAACAGCTAGCTTCCATCGCTCTCTGTGTTCGAGACGCCGAACTTGTCTGAAGTATTTTTAACTCTGGTCTGAAATAGATGGACGATTCCTTTTCAGTACTCACAAAGCACACGCCTGGTAAATTATGAAGCCGCAATTCGAATCATAGTCACATGTCTGCGATGAATCTCTTTAACGAATATCATTATAATTTATTCCCTTCAGTTTATTTCTTCCCACAGTGTAATACCATTTTTTTTTGTTGTAAGGTAAAGGTAGCCAGTCACGGTAGCCGAGCGGTCTAAGGCGTGCACTGTCTTCTCTCGCTCGGAAGCGGGGATCGTAGGTTCGAATCCCACTCAAGGCATGGATGTTTGTGTGCGTTTTTCTGTGTTTGTGTACAGGTAGAGGCCTTGCGACGAGTTGATCACCCGCCCAAGGAATCCTACCGTATGTCTAATATCTAGAAAAACCGAAGTGAACGGAGAAGTTCATGGAGGTAGGCCTAGGCCCATTGGGGCTGTAGTGCCAAGGAAAAAGAAAAAAAAAGGTAAAGTTGTCCCTGTGCTTAAGTAAGTAAGCACTACGCCATGAAGGCGTATGGGGGAGTGGATATATAGATTCACATTTTCTTGACCTAGGCATTAGTTGAACGTGAGTGGTCAGCTTCAGGCACCGGCTACTTTACCCCCCCCCCCCTGTAAACACTGTATAGGGGCTTCGGTGGACCAGAGAAATGAAAATTCTTGACCCTACCGGGACTCGAACTCCGACCCCCCTTGCCCAGCCCGTAGCCAGTCGCTATACCGACTGCGCTATCGAGGCTCCCCTTACGTCATGTAATTTATTAGATTGTCTACATACTTAAACACAAACAAATGTGGAAAACTAACTTAAAACTGCAGTGTTTTCGGTTCTCAGTACATCCACTGACCACACTGAACGGGGTTGGTATAGCAGTAAAGTTCCAGACTAGTATTCGCGAAGTGAACAGTTCGTCTCTCATGCGAAACACGGGCTGTCCACGTTAAGGTTTCCGGGTTTCCTCGGTGACTCGAGTAAAATGACCGGATAATATTTTCATTGGGCCGCGGCCACTTCCAAGTCCTTTCCAATTCTTTCATCAGTCATCCTATCATTCGACGCTATATAGTCTAGCTAGTCACAGTGTCGTTAAATAACAGCCCCCCCCCCCCTGCGTTTTTTGGCAGTGACACAAATTTGTTGTTGATAAGCTTACGTAGTACTGCTGTCTCGTCACCAAAATGCAGGGCAAAATCATGATATAAAGACAGCTAACAGATGCTTTGAAAATGTGTCACAGTTCAGACATTTGGTAACAACGATAACAGATCGAAATCTGATTCAGGGGGAAATTAAGAGGCGATTGAACTCGGGTAATGCTTGCTGCCCTTAAGTCCAGAACCTTTTGTCTTCTCGTCTGCTGTCCAAAAACATAAAAATTAGAATATCTATCTATCTATTCATCTAGGAGATGGGGTAGGATAGTCGGTATAGCGACTGGCTACGGGCTGGACGACGAGGGGTCAGAGTTCGAGTCCCTGTAAAGTCAAGAATTTTCCTTCTCCACAGCATTCAGACCGGCTCTGGGGCTCAACCAGCCTCCTATCCAATGGGTATCAGGGGCTCTTTTCCCCGGGGTAAAGCGGCAGGGACGTGAATCTGACCACTCACCTCCAGCTAAGGCCGAATTCAAGAAAATATGGATATATATATATATATTCACTCCCCCCATACGCCTTCGTGGAGTAGTACCTAATTCGTTGAACATAGGGACAACTTTACCTTTTTACATTGTCTAGCTACATACTCGTATCTATCTAGCTACCTATCTTATTTATCTATTTATCTATTCCTGTTGGAGCATAGGGCATCCGTGAAACGCTTGTCTCATTTCAGTTTCAGCCGTCAGGACTCCTTGGACTGGGGATCAGCCAGTCGCAAGACCACTACCTACACATAAACACAGAATAAAAGTAGACAAATATCCATGTCTTCAGTGGGATTTGAACTCAAGGTCCCAGTGTTGGAATGGGCTAAGACCCTTTGTGCCTTAGACCAAGGGTCTCCAAACTACGGTCCGCGGGCCGCATCCAGCCCGCGATGTGATTTTATCCGGCCCGCGAAAGAATTGTGCAGAAATGCGCCATTGGAACTAATTTTCCAATGAGTACTGGTAAAAAAATACTTGTTCATAGATTTCAAATTCATTAATTAAGATTGTGTTTAAAAAATATTGATATTCCATATTATATTAAAATTAATATTATTCACAATTTTACTAATTCTGGGCCGTATACTGCGCGGTATTTCTTCGTACTTGTTCGGCCTCGATCGGCAGTGTCACTTCGTGGCAATGTAGGTAGCGCGAGCAGAATTTCCTTCCTCATTTGCAAATTTATTCATTTCAGGTTTGAAAGAACAATTTCGGAAGCGATTTGCTGAACTGGATTCCAATTCTCAGGAAATTAGATTGTTTCAAAATCCGTTTGACTGTGATTCTGCAGATGTCCCAAGTCAAATTCAAATGGAAATTATTGAACTTCAGGAAAATTATCATATTAAAGACAAATACAAGGAAGGAAATTTGATCGAATTTTATAAATTTCTGAAATCTGAAGAATTTCCAAATTTAAAGAAATTTGCTTGTAAAGTTATCTCCATTTTTGGGGCGACATATCTGTGTGAACAAACTTTTTCCCAGATGAAGTACATCAAGTCGAAATACAGGGCAAATTTATCCGATGAACATTTAAAGTCGCTACTTGTGATTAGCGTTTCAAAATTTGAACCTCAATTTAATCAGATTTTAAGAATGCAAAAAGAGTTCCATCATTCACTTTAATTGTTTTATTATAATTTGTGATGAAAATATGAACATTTTCTGCTACTGTCTGTTGTCATTAATATACGATAACTTATTCTCACGTACTTTGTATTTAGTTTATGAAATTCTGTGCTTTCAATAAAACTCGTATACCAAGTGTTATTAGTTTCTCATTTTATCCGGCCCGTTTAAAGTGCTGAATTACCTAATGTGGCCCGCGTTTCGAAAAGTTTGGAGACCCCTGTCTTAGACTGTGCGACTGTGCTTGGCAAATCAGAATACACAAAACTATAATTTTGAATATGGTTTAGTATGGGTGTGAAACTTTGTCTCTGGCATTAAGGAAGGAAAACCGACTGAGAGTATTTGAGAACAGGGTGCCGAGGAGAATATTTGGACCGGAAAGAGATGAGGTGACGGAAGGTTTGGGAAAAGTTCGTAATGAGGAGCTTCATAACTTGTACTTCACCAAGTATAATTAGAATGACCAAGTCAAGGGGGACGAGATGGGCAGGACATATAGCACGAATGAGTAGAAGAGGAGTGCATATAGGCTATTGGTGGGAAAGCTAGAAGGAAAGAGACCACTAGGAAGACCAAGACGTAAGTGGCTGGATAATATTCAAATGGATCTGAGAGTGATAGGATGGGGTTGTATGGACTGGATTGATCTGGCTCAGAATAGGGACCAGCGAACACGCTAATGGACCTTCGGGTTCCATAAATTGTTGGGAAGTTCTGAAGCAGCTGCACAACTGGCGTCTTCTCAAGGAGGGCTCAGCTCCACGAAGTCAGTTTAGTCAGTTAAGCATTCGCATCTCTTCATCGTCAGGAATATATTTATTTCCGCGTCAGCATCACAATATATCCTATATTAACTAAAAAGTTAAAAAATAACACAAAGAAGTGAACTTTATTCGTGTGATAGAAACCGCCTCCAACGGCTCTAGGTCAGTATGTGCATATATTTTCTGTAGTAGCCGTAGCTACCGTACATATTGGCAAAAAGATCAAGTAAATATCACGATGTTTTCGGCTATTTTCTGGCAGTTGCTGGGCAACGGCCTCTTCCCATTCGGAATTTTTCTGGAAGTGCGAATCCTAATGTAACATGAGAATTTCAACGAAGGAAACAAAAATGTGGAAGAGCGAGAGAAAACACAAAAGCAGATACGTATATTATCAGGTTTTAATTATTTGGGTTTTAATGCATCATACTTTCTGAGAGAAGACATAAACATTAAACTAAATAAATTTCAGAGACTGCGTTGAAGGATACAAAGAATACTCAGATAAAAATAAAAAACTTAAATTTCACAACTAAAATGTTATAAGGCAATGTCAGTGCCTATACTGACTTATGCGAGTGTAGACTGCATAATAAGTCGATCAGACAAAAGAAAATAGTTAGCTGGAAATACTCTCCTAGTTCAAACTCGAAGTACAGATACGCGTTCGGAATTAAAAATATTCACTTTAACTGAGAGAGTAGAAAAGGTGAAGTTATATCTGTAACAGGCCATGGAGGCCCAAAGGGTTATGAGACGTCGAGGCTCCTACATTTTCTAGACAATCAGCTCACAAATGTCGGTAAGGTTGTCAGCCTTACGCTCCGGCAGACCTTTACCCCAGGAAGGTTCCTGGTACTCATTTCTGTTAGAGGTTGAGTGATAGTGCGGCTGGAAGGATTAGGTCAATTGAAAAATTCAATAAACTCATCGGGAATCGAACCCGTGACCTTCGGGTTTGTAGCAGTGTACCTCAACCAACTACGCTACCGGGTGCCTCTAGGTGAGATAATAAGGAAAAAGAATGTTACGAATATATTTTAAAAATGACTACAGATATGCTCCTAAAGATACTACTAAATTATAAAACGAAAGGATACCAAAGTAACAGGTGACAAATATTTAGATGGAAAGAAGCGAGAAACAGGTCAATGGTCTACACACTTAAAGAGGAAGAAGAAAAAGGAGAAGGAGAAGAAGAAGGTGTAAATCCTAAGGACAACAGGCAGGACTTCCTGGACAGGGAGGTCTAGCCGTCACGAGCCCTCTACCTACGCAGGAAACACAAACGTGCGAAAATATATATATACAACCTTGCCACGAGTGGGATTCGAACCCACGATCCAATATGCAAGCGGTAGAATGCACTACAAGAGTTAGACGGAGCTGCAGTTGGGATGTGTATGAGACTTATTTACGGTTTATCTGACGGCGCTG